AAGTTTTATATCCGAAGCAAGTTTTCAAGAAACTGCTCGGGTTTTAGCAAAAGCTGCTCTTCGGGGTCGTATTGATTGGTTGAAGGGCCTGAAAGAAAATGTTGTTCTAGGGGGGGTAATCCCCGCCGGGACCGGATTCAACAAAGGATTGGTGCATTGTTCAAGCCAACATACCAACATTCTTTTGGAAAAAAAAACAAAGAATTTATCTTTATTCGAGGAAGATATGAGAGATATTTTATTCTACCACAGGGAATTTTGTGCCTCTTCTATTTCAAAATCTGCCTTTTCTAGGATTTAATAATTCCTAATGGCGGATTCCTACTTTGAATTTCATTTTTTGTTGTTTGCTCTAGTCGTTTACTTTGTTAATTTCTTAACACTAAAAAAGATAATAATGAATACAAAATAATGGCTCGGTTCATGCCTAAACGGCCATCCCCGATACAAGCGAAGGTTCCATCGGAACAAATTTTTATTTTACTTTTGGGGTACTCCCCCTTTTTAAGTGTGAAAAGAAATGACAAAAAGATATTGGAACATCGATTTGGAAGAGATGATGCGAGCAGGAGTTCATTTTGGACATGGTACTAGGAAATGGAATCCTAGAATGGCACCTTATATTTCTGCAAAGCGTAAAGGTATTCATATTATAAATCTGACGAGAACTGCTCGTTTTTTATCAGAAGCTTGTGATTTAGTTTTTGATGCAGCAAGTAGGGGAAAACAATTCTTAATTGTTGGGACAAAAAATAAAGCAGCTGATTTAGTGTCGCGGGCTGCAATAAGAGCTCGGTGTCATTATGTTAATAAAAAGTGGCTCGGCGGCATGTTAACAAATTGGTCCACTACAGAAAAAAGACTTCATAAGTTTAGGGACTTGAGAACTGAACAAAAGACAGAGGGATTCAACCGTCTTCCGAAAAGGGATGCAGCTGTGTTGAAGAGACAATTATCTCGCTTGGAAACATATCTAGGCGGGATTAAATATATGACGGGATTGCCTGATATTGTAATCATCATCGATCAGCAAGAAGAATATACGGCTCTTAGAGAATGTATAACTTTGGGAATTCCAATCATTTCTTTAATCGATACAAATTGTAATCCCGATCTCGCGGATATTTCTATTCCAGCAAACGATGACGCTATAGCTTCAATTCGATTCATTCTTAACAAATTAGTATTCGCAATTTGTGAGGGTCGTTCTAGCTATATACAAAATTCTTGATTAATAATAAGATAAATAAATAAAATTTTTTGAGGGGTGGGGCTCCCTGTATTTCTATTTATAAAATTGGTTACTACTCCTGAATCGTACAAAAGAAAAAGAGAGAAAAAACTGGGATCTTGGGTGATTAGTTTAGTTGGTATCCAAAACTCAAATATAAAATTCAAGTAAATAAGTAAAAAAAGGGGGGTCTTGAATCAAAATAATTTAAAGTTCTTATTTCTGTCAGAGGGCAATATGAATGTTTTATCATGTTCCATCAACACACTAATAAAAGAAGGGTTATATGAGATATCTGGTGTAGAAGTGGGCCAACATTTCTATTGGCAAATAGGGGGGTTCCAAGTCCATGCGCAAGTCCTTATTACTTCTTGGGTTGTAATTGCTATCTTATTAGGTTCCGCAGTTCTAGCGGTTCGCAATCCACAAACCATTCCAACTGACGGCCAAAATTTCTTTGAATTTGTCCTTGAATTCATTCGAGACGTGAGTCAAACCCAGATTGGAGAAGAATATGGTCCATGGGTTCCGTTTATTGGAACTCTGTTTTTATTTATTTTTGTTTCTAACTGGTCAGGAGCCCTTTTACCGTGGAAAATTATCCAGCTACCCCAAGGGGAGTTAGCAGCACCAACGAATGATATAAATACGACGGTTGCTTTAGCTTTACTCACATCCGTAGCATATTTTTATGCGGGTCTTAGCAAAAAAGGATTAGGGTATTTCAGTAAATACATTCAACCAACTCCAATTCTTTTACCCATTAACATCTTAGAAGATTTTACAAAACCCCTATCACTTAGTTTTCGACTTTTCGGAAATATATTAGCCGATGAATTAGTAGTTGTTGTTCTTGTTTCTTTAGTACCTTTAGTGGTTCCTATACCTGTCATGTTCCTTGGATTATTTACAAGCGGGATTCAAGCTCTCATTTTTGCCACTTTAGCTGCGGCTTATATAGGTGAATCTATGGAGGGTCATCATTAACTCTTTTTTTTTTTCAATATTCGTTTTTAGGTTAGCCCAATTCAATTATAGAATAGTTGGTTTACGTTATGTAAGAAACACTTGTATATGTGATATTTGATATTGACTAGGTATATATGAGTTAAAGATCTATATAATCTGTCCCACTACTTTTGTGAATTTTGATTTAGATAAGGATTCGATTAGAAGTTCTTCCTTTTTATCCGTAAATTGACTGAAAAAAATGATAAAAAAAAGAACGATGAATTCAAAGAATGGTTCACAAAAAAGAAATGGCATAAAAAGTCGTATATATATTATGAATTTTTCAAAATCCCATATCAAAGTAATTCTTATGATTCAATAATATAATTCTATTATTTCAATTAATATTTCAATTAAAGTTTTTGGTGATTTTGGCTGGATGAATCTTAGGGATGACTTAATTAGAATTAAGTCCTAAGTAATTTGATGATTGTATCATTAACTATTTCTTTATTTTGGTGTGAGGAACTTATCATGAATCCACTGGTTTCTGCTGCTTCGGTTATTGCTGCTGGGTTGGCTGTCGGGCTTGCTTCTATTGGACCTGGAGTTGGTCAAGGTACAGCTGCGGGTCAAGCTGTCGAAGGTATTGCGAGACAACCTGAGGCAGAAGGAAAAATACGAGGTACTTTATTGCTTAGTTTGGCTTTTATGGAAGCTTTAACAATTTATGGTCTGGTTGTAGCATTAGCGCTTTTATTTGCGAATCCTTTTGTTTAATCCTAGAAATCAGCAAATTCTGAATTTTTTTTCGTAGTTTTTTTAATTCTATCAATATTTAACTCCTACAATTATTCATTGAGACAACAATCCTTGGGAAGGACTAATTTGAGGATGGGGAATTAGCACATCGATTCGCTTTCTTCCTTCCCCTTATTCCTTTAGTTTTTTAGTTTAATGGAAACTTTTTTTTGGAGATTTTTAAAAATTAACATAAAACTTGGTCTTAAATTATAGCTTAATTCTAATTAAGTCTCATTATTATTATTGAAAATTAAAAATTTTGGAAAATACATTTGTAAATAGAATAGGTTTTTAATTCTGTTTACAAATATCCAAATAGGTAAATGAAATTATAAATTATTAAATGAAATTTTCTTTTTATTTTCAATAAAATAAAAAGAAAAAAAAAGGACAGAGTTCCTTTTTTATAGTTTAGCTAGAAGAGGAGATTATATGAAAAATTTAACCGATTCTTTCGTTTACTTGGGTCACTGGCCATCCGCCGGGAGTTTCGGGTTTAATACCGATATTTTAGCAACAAATCCAATAAATCTAAGTGTAGTCTTTGGTGTATTGATTTTTTTTGGAAAGGGAGTGTGTGTGAGTTGTTCATTTCAAGATATAGGCTGGATTCACCCAGCGGCACTAGAACTAGGAAAAAGTGCCTAATCCCGCGAATTACTTCTGAATAAAAAATGCAATAAAAAAAATCATATTTTAGAACCATAGCATTTCGTTATTTTTTGGTAAGTCTACTTTACTTTGATTCTCTATCAATCCAAAATTTGGGACCATTAATTAACATGGTTAAAGTTAAACTGTTTGAAGTTCAGATGCACCACGGTACTCTTTCTACTATATGTAGTCTAATTCAAAAATGAATAAGATTTTCAAAAAGAATAGTTAGACTTTTTTCGATATAAAACACTCATGTCGATAAAATTTTTTGAGTCTTTTTGGATAATGCGGAATTGATAACCTACGTATAAAGTAATAAAAATTCTTTGGATTTTAAGAAAAAAGGAAACAACTTTGCTGACAATTATCGATTTTTTTATTGGTCAGAAGAATCCTCCGAATATTTTTGTCTTGGATTGGTTATATTTTTCGCTTTTTGGATAGAAATATATATTGAGCTATGAATTGAGTCCAAAAAAAAAGGGAGAGGATAGGCTCATTACATGAAAAATATGGGAATGAAAGTCTCATAAATAATTGATAAATAATTGGAATAAGTGAGCATGAGAGCCAAATGAATCGAAAGATTCATGTTTGGTTCGGGAAGGGATCATAGAACTTTTTTTTGTTACTGAAAAGATAATCTACTTTCATTAAATGATTTATTAGATAACCGAAAGCAGAGGATATTAAATACTATTCGAAATTCAGAAGAACTACGTGAAGGAGCTATTCAACAATTAGAAAACGCCCGAGCTCGCTTGGGTAAAGTAGAAACGGAGGCAGATCAGTTTCGCGTGAATGGATACTCTGAAATCGAACGAGAAAAATTAAATTTGATTGATTCAACTTATAAGACTTTGAAACAATTAGAAAATTACAAAAACGAAACCATTCTTTTTGAGCAACAAAGAACAATTAATCAAGTCCGCGAACGGGTTTTCCAACAAGCTTTACAAGGAGCTATAGGAACCCTAAACAGCTGTTTGAGTAACGAGTTACATTTACGTACTATTAATGCAAATATTGGTATGTTTGGTACGATGAAAGAAATAACGGATTAGTTCTTTCCTTACGATTATGATAGGCATTATTTTTTTTCTTCCAAAAAAGAATTAGGACAATACTCATGGTAACCATTAGAGCCGACGAAATTAGTAATATTATCCGTGAACGTATTGAGCAATATAATAAAGAAGTAACGATTGTAAATACCGGTACCGTACTTCAAGTGGGCGATGGCATCTCTCGTATTTATGGTCTTGATGAAGTAATGGCAGGTGAATTAGTCGAATTCGAAGAGGGTACTATAGGTATTGCCCTTAATTTAGAATCAAATAATGTTGGTGTTGTATTAATGGGTGACGGTTTGATGATCCAAGAAGGAAGTTCAGTCAAAGCTACGGGAAAAATTGCTCAGATACCGGTGAGTGAGGCTTATTTGGGGCGTGTTATAAACGCCTTGGCTAACCCCATTGATGGTCGAGGTAAGATTTCAGCTTCTGAATCTCGGTTAATTGAATCTCCTGCCCCAGGTATTATTTCGAGACGTTCTGTATATGAGCCTCTTCAAACAGGACTTATTGCCATTGATTCCATGATTCCTATAGGACGCGGCCAGCGAGAATTAATTATTGGTGACAGACAGACCGGTAAAACAGCAGTAGCCACAGACACAATTCTCAATCAACAAGGTCAAAACGTAATATGTGTTTATGTGGCCATTGGTCAAAAAGCTTCTTCCGTGGCTCAGGTAGTGACTAGTTTACAGGAACGGGGGGCAATGGAATACACTATTGTGGTAGCCGAAACGGCTGATTCCCCAGCTACGTTACAATACCTCGCGCCTTATACAGGAGCAGCCTTGGCTGAATATTTTATGTACCGTGCACAACACACTTTAATCATTTATGATGATCTTTCCAAACAAGCCCAAGCTTATCGACAAATGTCTCTTCTATTACGAAGACCACCGGGTCGTGAAGCTTATCCAGGAGATGTTTTTTATTTACATTCACGTCTTTTAGAAAGAGCCGCTAAATTAAGCTCTCAATTAGGTGAAGGAAGTATGACTGCCTTACCAATTGTCGAGACCCAGTCAGGAGATGTTTCAGCTTATATTCCTACTAATGTAATTTCCATTACAGATGGACAAATATTCTTATCCGCCGATCTTTTTAATGCTGGAATCAGACCTGCTATTAATGTAGGGATTTCTGTCTCGAGAGTAGGATCCGCCGCTCAAATTAAAGCTATGAAACAGGTAGCTGGAAAATTAAAATTGGAATTGGCTCAATTCGCTGAATTAGAAGCCTTTGCCCAATTTTCTTCTGATCTCGATAAAGCTACTCAGAATCAATTGGCAAGAGGTCAACGATTGCGTGAGTTACTCAAACAATCCCAATCAGCCCCTCTCACAGTGGAAGAACAGGTAATGACCATTTATACCGGAACAAATGGTTATCTGGATGGATTAGAAATTGGACAAGTAAGAAAATTTCTCGTTCAGTTACGCACTTACTTAAAAACGAATAAACCCCAGTTCCAAGAAATCATATCCTCTACCAAGACATTAACCGCTGAAGCAGAAAGCTTTTTGAAAGAAGGTATTCAAGAGCAACTGGAACGTTTTCTACTTCAGGAGAAATTATAAAAAAAAAGGGGGATCATTCTTCTTTTTGATTCTTTAGTCAATTTTATTCTTTAAATTAAATTTTTCCGAAATTCTATAATCTATAAATAGAAGTATATAAGTATAAGTCTATATATAATAGAAAGAAGTATATAACTAATATCTGTTTCATATTAAATCTTAAAGCATTCAGATTTTCTTTCTTATCCTTTTTCGAAATGGAAAAAAAAGATATTCTATATAATAGATAGAAATAAGATAGATAGAAATAATATAGAAATGGAAATAATAGATAAATATCAATATAGATATATTGATATTGCGTCCAATAGGATTTGAACCTATACCAAAGGTTTAGAAGACCTATGTCCTATCCATTAGACAATGGACGCTTTTCGCTTTTTTTGACCTTCCAATTGTTAAAAAAAAGAATGTGCGAAATCTTTTTAGCAATTGTGTATTGAAGTGAATTCAATACACAATTGCTATTAGACAATTCTAACAGAGAAAACAGAGAAAATTTGGATAAAATTTTCTCTAATAAAAAGGGGCAATTTAGGATTTAGAGCGGGTAGCGGGAATCGAACCCGCATCGTTAGCTTGGAAGGCTAAGGGTTTTAGTCGACGTTGGTTGATCATTTTTATATTTTTAACGTCTCTAATTCAAAACCGAACATGAAACTTTGGTTTCATTCGGCTCCTTTATGATGGATGGAGAAATTCCCAAATAAAATAAGACGGGAACGAAATCAAAATCCCAATTCGACCCATAACATCTATGTTAGCTTTTTTTCCGTCTGGGTGCTTTCACAGAAAATTTTGCTTTCTAGATGATCCTTCTAGAAGATAAAAAAAGGCGAACCCCAACAATCTTTCTAGTTACTTCGTTCTTTATTTCTATTTAACCGAATCCTTAGGAAAAGTATTTTGTTTCCACCGAGCTAAAACAATATAAGATGTCGATGTCTTTAGTAAACCAAAGTTCTCGTTTAATAGCTATGTTGCTTCAATTTTTCTATAGCAAAGAATGAATAGAACTGAAGATTTAGTTACGATTAGAAAGAAACTTTTCTAGCTTTATCCATGGATCCTCTTGTTATACTTATTGAATTGTAAATAGTCATCCAATTCAAAAATTATGTTTCGGAATTTCATAATCCAAATTTACAATTGATTAGAGTCTTTGGATACAAATTACGAGAATCTATAATCTTCCTTGAATCCTTCATTGAAAGGTAAAGGACTAAATCCTTTTAAGAAATAAAGTTTTTGATCGGAAGATTTATTAATCAAACCGAGAGACCCTTTAACTATTAAAGGGGTTAAAAGAACGAATCACACTTTTACCACTAAACTATACCCGCTACAATGCAATTATTGTATATAAATTGACCTTTTGTCGAACAAAGTAATCGGGAGTGTAATAAAAAAATCTGACAAAAAATTCGCAAATTCTAGCGTGGGATTCCATTTTTGTTTTTTATTTCAGATCGTTTTTGTCTAAAACTTCATCGGATGACTCTTTTTAACTTTAGCAAAAAACAAAAAAAAAGGCCCGGCTGGGGACTGACCAGGCCAGGCTATTAAACTAAAAAAGATCTTTTATTTTATTATTTTACTTGTGTTTGGACGAGACAAAATAAAAAAAGGATTCGCTATTTCTATTATTGTGGTTTTATTTATTTCTCTTTCGAGTTCGAGCCTTTTCTTTATCTAATCGTTTTTTATGTAAATAGAATTACTGAGAAAGTTCTAGAAAAAATTATATATATATAATAGTCAAATTATATATAATAGTAATATATATATTAATAGATATAAATATATAAATAGCTTAGAAATATATTTATATATCTTATAAATATATTTATTTATATATATATAATAAAATATAGCTGAGAAATATATTTATATTTATATATAATAAAATATAGAAAATATAAAAAATAGATAATAAAGACTAATCTAAAAAAAAAAAGAAAGTTTTTTAAGAATAAAGTAGAGAAAGTATCCCTTTTCGATTAGGAGAGATGGCTGAGTGGACTAAAGCGTTGGATTGCTAATCCATTGTACGAGTTAATCGTACCGAGGGTTCGAATCCCTCTCTTTCCCTTTCTCCTTTTGATGATGTGTAATAGATAAAATCCTAATAAAATTCGAACATTTCCACTAATTAAATAAAGCAATAAAACAATAAAAAACCTTTCTTTTTTATTCTTCGCGTCCCGGATTACGTCCTGGATCATTAGATAGGAATCCAAATATGAAGAGAGAAATAAAGAATATAACTACAGTGTATACAAAAAGTTTGAGAGTAAGCATTACACAATCTCCAAGATCTTACTTTTTTTTTTTTTTTCAAAAAAAAAGAGAATAGATTCTCTATTTTTATACCAAATATCTTATTTTGATACCAATAAATCAAGTGATTTATTTTTTTCTAGAAAAAAATAAAAAAAAAAAAGGGGGGTTCAGAAAGTCATTTGTGATAATAGTCGAGTCTTTCATATTCAAACAGATTTGCATACCAACATCTAGATCTTTTTTTGGTGAACTCGAATCTAATTAGATTCTTTCATTTAGGGAAAAGAGGATAAAATTGAAGAAATAGAATGATCCAGGTTTGAATTCAGGGTTCGTTCATACGTCAAGATTTTTTTGAGCTATTGTTGGAAGAATAAAAATTGTGAATTTTTCTAAGACAGTATTAATAATTTCATCGAAAACTTACAGCTGCTTGCCAAACAAAGGCTAAGAGAAGAAAGAAAAGAGGTATTACGGGCATAACATCTACGATTGGATTCAAAAAGGCGTAGGCCTCCGGCAATTTGGCAACTAAAAAAGTGCTTGAAAAAAGGGCAGAATTCAAACAAATACAGATCAAATTAAATATATTAAGCATAAAAAAATTTGGTGTTCTTGTGGATAATTTCATTTTGATTGAGTTATTAATATATTTTTTATATAAGGAAAAAAATAAAGAAAGATAGTCTAAAAAGACTTTGTTGAACTTACTCAATCAAAAATTCTTTCATTCTCTTATGAGAATGAAAGAAATAATATTTTCATACAATATCTTAATTGAATTCTATGTAATGATCAATAAAGTAAGTTTGATTTGCTATCTACACGCGTAAAAACTCTAGCACCAATGTAATCTATATTTAATTCGGGCTGAAATTGAATTGACGAACAACCAATAGCAATATTACTCTTTTAGTAGTCTTGAATAAAAATCGAAATGGGGCGTAGCCAAGCGGTAAGGCAACGGGTTTTGGTCCCGCTATTCGGAGGTTCGAATCCTTCCGTCCCAGAGTACGGTCATTACGGAATCAATCTTCTATTGCCTTTGTACACCACCTTTCTCTTTCTATTTAAAAATCCAATTTTTTTTAAGAATAAACTATTGAAACGAAACGAAGAATCCACTTATTTTTCATTAATTCAAAAAAATAGATTTGCTTTTTTATTTTTGTGTGATGCGGGTAAGTAAGGTATAACCGTAGATTCTAAGTGGTAGAAAACAATGTGCGACTTGAATTGAAGGACATTATTTGCTGTGGATTTTTTGATCCGCCACTTTTTATATAGGAATATAGGTGCTCTTGGCTCGACATTTTGTGTTCTATTTTATTTACTAGAGTACAGGATGGAGCTGGAGGAAAATAGAAAGTTTTTTCCTTTCGCAGGAGTAAGGATCTAGGGTTAGTGCGAATCAATTAAGTTGGAACAGCTTCGTAAGTCTTTTTATTTTTATATTGAAAAAAAAAAAAAAGCCCTTCAAGTAATTTTACAATGGAAAAGGGGGAAAAGAAAATTTTCTTCAAATTGTCAAATTCTTTGAATCAAACGTCTATCATGCGTGAATCAAGCGTTTGTATGATTTTTTGATAGAAAGAAAAGAAATCATACAAAAAAATAAGGGGCTTTGTTGCTGCCCTTTTTTAATAAAACGATTCAAGATCGCCGAAGTCATGTCTAAACCCAAAGATTCAAAGTAAGGATAAAGAATCCTTAAACAAGGAAATCTGGTTTTCAATTGTTTGAACAATAGAGACTACTCAATAAAAAGAGTACTTCAGCATTCTTGGTTGAGATATTTGAGAGTTATTTAACTTGAGTTACGAGAGTACGAATGTTACGAATCCTTTTTATGGAAAAAAATATTTAAGGTTTTTATTAATCTATTTAATATTTGAATTTTATACAGAAAGCTAACTTCTACTCATTTCATTTTTTCTCGAGCCGTACGAGGCCAAAGCCTCTTAATACGTTTCTAGGGAGGGGTATTATTCATATACATCTATCCCAATGAGCCGTTTATCGAATCGTTGCAATTGATGTTCGATCCCGAAGAGAAGGAAGAGATCTTTGGAAAGTGGGTTTTTATGATCCGATAACTAATCAAACTTATTTAAATCTTCCTGCTATTCTCGATTTCCTAAAAAAAGGCGCTCAAGCAACAAGAACAGTTCATGATATTTCAAAAAAGGAACGGGTTTTTACGGAATTAAGTCTTAATAAAAACGAAATTGAATTAATGAAATATAAAAAAGAGGGTGTGAAAGATTCGTATATAGCTTGAGCTTGGTATCAAATTTTATCTACTCTTTTGTTTTCTCCTCTTTTGCTTCCATGATATTTTTCTATTTATTAGAATTTCGATTTATTAAGAGTATTCTTCATTAAGGTACGAATACTAAAAAATACCCTGCCAAGAACTACTATGTTTTATAATCATAAACAAATTTATTAAAAGAATTTTGGATCTATAGAAATTCAAATGCTAATGTATGGATAAATAAAAAAAATACTGTAACTGTATATAAATATAAAATAATATATTAATTAAGAAAAAAAAATATATATATATATTAAATATATTTTATATGAATAATTTATTCATACAAAATTGGTTAAAAAAAATATAAAAAGATTTAAGATTACCCTACCTGGCTTAGTTTTCAGTCATTGTATGAACTAACAAACCAAGGGGGTAAACTTATTTCTTTTTTTTTTTTTACTCTTTTCGCTATATGAAAAATTCACAATCATATTGACAACAGTGTATCGACCAAATATAATTCTCTCATAGAGAAATGGATCTATTTCTCCCTGACGCACACATGACTGGATTTTTTTTTTTCTGGTTGTATCTACATATTTGCAGTACTTTCTTTTTTTTTTTGGGGGGGGGGTTGCTAACTCAACGGTAGAGTACTCGGCTTTTAAGTGCGACTAGCATCTTTTACACATTTGTATGAAGAAAAGGATTCGTCCAGATCTGCGGTAGAGTTTGTAAGACCACGACTGATCCTGAAAGGAATGAATGGAAAAAATAGCATGTCGTATCAAGGGAGAATTCAGATAACATAACAGTTTTTGACTTTCCTGATCAGTACAACCTTTTTTTCGGTGTTGACAAAAAAAGGAATTCCAATTTGGGTCGAGTGAATAAATATAAATGGATGGATAAAAAAACCAGTTTTCCTTATTCTAGGAAAAAAAAAAAGAAACGAGCTTCCATTCGTAATTTGAAAAATTACCCGATCTAATTAAATGTTAAAAATAGATTAGTGCCTAATACGGGTATGGGAAGGAATTTTTTTCTTGGGTGTTATTATCAATTTTTTCATGAGTCCTAATTATTTTTTCCCTAGTCCCTTTGGGTTAGGTTGGAGATGGATGTGTAAAAGAAGCAGTATATTGATAAAAATATATATTTCCAAAATCAAAAGAGCGATTAGGTTAAAAAAATAAAGGATTTCGAATCATTTTGTTTTGTTATTCTATAATATAACCAAAATATAACGAACAGAAACCTATCAAAGATAGAGAATCCGGTTAGCAGTCTACCTGTTTATGAGGTATCTATTGCTTTCGTAATATAATACCTTGTTTTGACTGTATCGCACTATGTGTCATTTCAGAACTCAATAAAAAAAAAACTTTACTTTCAGTTCAAATCGAATTTCAATCCAAATGGAGAAACTTCAAGGATATTTAGAGTTCGATGGGGTTCGGCAACAGAGTTTTCTATATCCACTTTTTTTTCGGGAGTATATTTATGTACTTGCTTATGATCACGGTTTAAATAGATTAAATAGAAATCGATCTATTTCCTTAGAAAATGCGGATTCTGACAAAAAATACAGTTCACTAATTGTGAAACGCTTAATTTTGCGAATGTATGAACAGAATCGTTTGATTATTCCCACTAAGGAT